TGGACTTCTTTTCAAGATAACATAGGCTGCTTTTAGTATATGATAGTATTAGTACAGTATATGATAGTATTAGTACAGTACATACACTACAAATTTCAAAGAAGCTAAATAAATTAAAAACATGCTTGTTTATATACTCCATGATACAGATTGATGTTACAGTGGCCCTATTTATTGTTTTTTAGCACTAATTCCGAAAATTTACAGCATATATTTTGAAAAGAAGCCCCCTTTTTTACTTTGCAAAAGTGGCCTCGAAAAGAGGGCCATCCAAAGTTTGCAAAAAAAAAAGAAGCCCAGGGCTTCAATTCAAGGTTTTACTGTATCACTGTTTCTGAACTCTACAAGTGTGTATACAAAAATAAACAATTAGGTATAAATTACTGATTAATTATAGCTAGTCCATGTCACATGATTTTTTAAAATGATTATTATATTAATATAAGTCATTGCAATATATTTGTATTAAGGATATCATATTAAAGCTAAATATCTCTTCAGTGCATTCTGCATCAAAAAAGTGTATGCCTTTTTCACAGACTTTTATGTTTAAAAAACTAAGTTAAAACTCTATCCCAATTCATGTTCCGAAGTTATCGGACACAATAAAATTAATATTTAATATATGCTTGTACATATTTAAGGTTTTTTTCCAATAGAAATGTAGGTATCAGTAGCAAGTACAATGTGTAACTGTGATTTATTGATTGTTGAATAAATTATATATATTATATGCACATAAAGTCTAAAATTTTGTGTCAAAGTGTCCAGAAGTTACCATGGAATTGTCCCCTGTGCATTTAAATAGGATGTCACAGTGTTACCGTCACAAAGTTACCAAAAAAGTAACGTCAGGACACTTTTTAAATTGCTTTAATTTGTAAACGAAATAATTTTTTTTTCTCAATTCATGTTTATGTTGTTCACATATATGCTTATGATTTGAATAATAAATTTTCTTTTATTTTGTTAAGTACTTTTTGAGAAATGAAAAAAAATATTACTTTTTTGGTAACTTCGGGACATTTTATATGGTAGTTCATTGTCAAGTCGCTGTAGCGGAACGAAGTACACAAAATAAAATAAATTCATGAATATACCATATATAATGTTAATAATTACTAATCCAATCAGTTATGTTGGTAATATATGTTAAAGAGCATAAATAAACACTCTAAAAGTTGGCCTATTTTATTCATTTTTTTTGGGAAAAAATAATATTAATTGTATTTCTTATATAAAATTTAAGCGAGTATAAAAACTTGAAAACTAAGACCATTTTATGAAAGTTCAGAATTTCATCTTTAATTTGATACCAAATTTGGTAGGATACCACTATTTTAAAAATTTAGGTGCCATGTCCTGTTTTGCATGGAATTGCCCATATCATAACAGCATTGATACCAGTAAACTGCTCATTGATTGCATTAGAATGCTAATATTCAGTATGACAGATTCCCGGTACATTAATATTTAAACTACAACCTTTCCTTAGGGCTGTTAAATCTTTAATTTGCTAATGCCACCTTCGTGAGTCTTGTTGGTGGAGATGTCGAATTCTACGTACATAGCATGCATTATTAGCTTAATCAATTTCACATGTTGTCATGACGACGGTTATCGTAATGGACATTTCCGCTAAGCCCCGTCCCTTGGATAAGGTTACTAAGGTCCTACAAACCAGTAGCGTATTCTTAGCAGGCCCCGGACCGTAGGCAGGATTTTCGATGGGGAGGTGCGTTTTTGCTACCGAAGCGGTCGCAAAAACCCCCCCACCTACGGGCCCACCCCCCGGCCTACGGGCCTGAGCACTGTTCTGATTGGTCAGTTGTTAAGTTTGATTGGCATTGGCACTACGGAAAGGTCCATCATTATTATTAGGCTGTGCTTACCATGTAAAGGCTGAAGCATGTCATGATTCCTAGAATTGGAAGAAAACACCGATATTGTTGACACCACATCGCTCAGCTGTATCTGAAATAGTACAAGAAAGTTAGTGTAAATTTAGTGAAAGGTTGAAAAAATTGCAACAGAATTTATTTTACCACAGTGCATTTCTACAAGGTCCCTATTTCAACATATTAAAAGTCTTGAAAAATCCAGGTAGGGGAAACATGTGGAAATGCGTTTTATTCAAAATGGCCAACAAAATAGATAAAAATATGAGAAAAAAAATCGTAATGTCATCATAATATGTCATATTTATGAATAAACTTGTAATTTTTTAGATCCTCACTAAGGTTTTTAATATTTAGCAACCAATGCATGTATTACTTTATAGAATAATGCTAATATTTTATGAAAGCGGCCGCCATCTTAGATTTTAAAATGACCACCATATAAAACATATACCTATATCTCCGCTTCTAAACCACTTCAAAATATAATTCTAGGTTTTTATGGTCAAGAAATATTATCATACAATTTTGACAGCGTCAGATTGTCATAAATAGGTTATTAAGGGTAATTTAAGGTCATTCAAAGTCATTACAAGTAAAATATTGTATGGCATCTTAATAAACACGGATGCCTACAGTAACTGTCGTGTTTTACATCAGAAACATACTCAACCTATATTTTTCTATAGCCTATTCCTACGTGCTTTTCCGACAATTTGCACCACACATTCTCATCTGAGTTTTCAAGAAAACCTGCATTGATCATGCTAATCTCAATCGGCCGATGGCCAACAAGCTCTAACCACCACCACTAATTTAATCTGCTATTCTGCTGTTATGTAATAATGTACTCCCAACATTCTTGTCATGAAAAGCCATGCTCTCTGATGGACGATTATCTTCTTTTCCGCCGCACAACCATTCGTAATTTGCAGTTTCCTAATGTCCTTATATAATCATTTTTCATTCAAAATGTGCTTCTTGAATTTAATAAGTTCTCTTAATAACCCCTCGATTTTCAATTATTTCCATAAGCGCCCCCTCAATTTCCACTCTGTTTTGATAAGCGCCCCGTTTGAATAAGCACCCCTCAAAAAGTGCAAAAAATATTTTAAGCGCCCGGGCGCTTATTCGCGCGAGTACGGTAAAAGGAGTTGCTTTCTATATTATTTCATTTAATTAGGTTTCAAAATTTGCTGTGAGACCTATTTGTTTGTTTGTTTTATGTAAATTTCAAGATGTTGCTCATTGAGATGCATGTTGTTAAACTATAGCTGCTCCGTGAAGTCTGGCTGAGGTTATCATCAAAGAGTATTTTATACCCTTTGTTATCATCAGCCATGTGATTGAAGAAGCGTAATCTTATTTCATAATGTATGAGGTTTAGGTAATTCGTTTGGTTTTCAATAAAAGATGTCTGCCTTAATACCGGTAGTACTTTGTATATAATAATTCAGATAATGCCTAATTGTATTTATTTACGATCTATTTAGAGTAAATTTTGATTATTGCTTGATCTGGGCCGTTTACATCGTACGAGTCAATACTGTATACGATCGTTTGAAATTTCGGTACATAGTCTATTTTA